ACGGGTGCGACCCTGAGGGTTGCGATCCGTTGCCGGTCACGAAAAAAAGACGAAAAAAAAAAAAAAAAATGTATCACTCTAGCATACAGACCATTCAAGTTAAAGGCACTTGTAAAACTGCAGGTGCAAAAAAATCATTCTGATCTTTGTGCTGTTTCTTAAAAACAGATGAAATTGCTGTGTGAAAGATGTCTTCCCTAAACATCAAGGATGGGAAGTTGAAAAAAAGAACGTGTTAAAAGATAACTCTTATCTTACATAAACCTCCCCACATAATTTAAGTGCTTCTGCACCACTTACTTTTCTTTGTCCAGTGTGCTACATAGTAACTAACTGCTTCTTTGGGACTTCATTTCCTTATGAAGGTTCCTGTGTCAGGTGGAACTTGTATGAAATAACTATGTATGCTTTTCTCATATTAATCTAATGCCTGTTTAATTCTTGGGCCCTGCTGGGACCCTAAGGGAAGTGGGGCTTGGCTGCCCCTACAAAAGCAAGCAGTAGCCCATGTAATTGGGGGATGATCTTGCAGGAGAGAAATCCCCTTGCAGGAGAGAATACCCTTTGCAGGAGAGAAATCATGATTAGTGCTAGATTGTGTATTGGCCCAAAAATACCTAATCAATATTCTTGTATTGTCAGCCTGAAGTAGCTAGAAGAAAGGATTGCCAAAGTGCATTTCCCTAAACAGAATAAAGTTGAGACTGAGGAGGAAATAAGCCAAGGAGAGACAACGTCTGCTTAAAATCACCCTGGGAGATGGGGACCGTTGAAAAGCAGGTCCAAGCCTGAATACACAGAAATCTGGCTCAGGCTGTTAAATCTAACATGTTTAGATGCAGAACACTCCGGATCTCTGGAAAGAGAGGGGCACCGCTGAGGATTCAGGGATAACATGAGACATACCTTCCGTCAGCCACATCTGTCCCAAAAAGGAGAAGGTAGAGCTGCGCTGTTCAGTATGGTAGCCACTAGCCATATGAGGCCATTTAAATTCATTAAAATTAAATAAAATTAAAAACTAAGTTGATTAGTCAAAAGCCACATCTCAAGGTCAGCACAGATATAAACATATCCATTGCAGAAAGGTTTTTTGGACTGCACTGGTAGGGACCCTAAGGACTTCTTGTGGAGAAATGGTTAGAAAAGTGAGAGCTTGTATTTGGTGCCACTTCTTTTCTGCTTACAATTAAATGGGCATGTATCAATAGCCCCTATATAATGTGTGATTCACTGAAAACATTGCAATAGAGTTTCTGGGACATAAATGAGGGAGGGATGCGATTGGTTTGGAAGCCTTGCTGGACTAGCTTGGTTGGCCCACTATAGGGGGCCCAAAGCGTGCCAGGTTAGGAAAATTTAGTTTAGAATTTCATGTAGCATTTTTTCTTTATACTTGCCAGCACCCTCTTTCCCCTCTTCATCTCCACCAGCTGAGAAATGTTGACAAGTGACGCCATCTTGATCTTTGAGATGAAAGCTACATTTGAGAATGGACTTGAACAAGGTCTAGACCCATGAAGGTGTGAAAACTTTCAGGGTGAGTCACTTATGGTGTGAGCTGAGTACTGGCCATGTATAATAA